ATGAGTTCAGTGCCTCTCTGCTCCTTGCCTGACCCTGATTAAAGATGACTCCACTGGCTTTTCATTTATGCATCTTCAGATCTCAGTTATCTAGCTATCCTACAAGGATAAGGACAATATCCAAAAAATGATGCCCATGCCCATCCCCCTCCTCCTTTACATCAAGACCTTAAAATGAACACCCTTGGTCCTCCTCCTCCATCACAGGCAATTTTCTTTTCCTCGTTCATGTTTTCAAAACAATTTATCTTTTTATCTCCTTGGAAGAAAAGTACTCTGCAAATCAAAGGTATCATTAGTATTGTTATTATTTTGCTATTGAAATCTCTTGAATTCACTCTGGATTATTCATGTGCTTTTTTGGGTCTGCAATATAATGCTGCCTAAATCACCCCCACTGGGCTGAACAAAAAAGAGAAATTGCATCTTGGGGCCTAATCCCCTGCTCCACCTCGTCTCCTGCTGGCCCTGGCTTCTACCAACACAGGCAGCGCCAGGCAGGGCTGCTCTTTGGTCCCATGCCTGGCTCACTGCTGCCTTGTTCCAAATAAGATCCTCCTTTGCATATCCAAGAGGGGGCCGTGGTGTCCTCTAAGAGCAGTGTGCAGGCGTGGACCCCACCCCTCACCATGGGGTATTTCTTTTCCCTCCTAAATAAATCAGGCTGGCAACTGAAGAATCCCTGCTGGGCACAGACACTGCCACCCTCACTCACATCCCAACAGACATGTCCCAGCTCCCCTCACCCAAAAGACTTGTTAATAACTGGCCCCACACCCTTGGTGTTGACCTTCTAGAACAAAAGAAATGATTCTTCTTCCTTTAGACAAGACGTCATACCAGTCAGGGTGCTTGTGGGGGTAGAATTATACACATTACTTGCTCATATTTTGAGATATGATCTTTCTGGGCCAGAATACATGTTTCCAAAGTTGCTGTTCCTTCTCAATTTCCTTTTCTAATGACTTCTCTGCCTGTAACCCCGACTATCCTCTCCATTCTTCTAGATGACTCTGATGTGCTTATGCTATCTTCTGATGCCCTCCCTTCTCTCAAGGGGGCTCCTGGCAAATTGAAGCCTTTTGCATTTGTCCCTCCCTTTTAAGGCTTCCTCTCACCTCCATGACTCCCTTCCTTCACCCTGGCCACCTCTCTCCACTCACACTCTGTTTTTCTCTGCTGTCTGTTTGATGCTCTTCTATTCCCTTAGAGAGTCACATCACCATAAACCCCTACCCCACTGATGGCTGTAGACAATCCCCCTCCTCCACTTTCTGGTGTTCCCTGCCAGCAATTCAGGAGAGTAAATGGGTCCCTTAAATTTTTCCTAATAGGGAAATGACACCCCAGATTAGCCCTCAACTCAAGAATTTCCCTGACAGGTAGATAAACACAAGTTTTCACTTTCACCCCACACGTTCCAGGCAGCATGGCGTACATGCAAACCCAATAAGAAATCTGACATTACCAGGATTAGAATCTTTAGGACTACAGTGTTACTAGGCAGAACAGCATACTTAGGGAATGACAGAGAAAAATGTCAGACAGTGGTGGGGCATATCTCTTTCTTAAGAGCATCTGAGGTAGAAGGCACCAACATTCTACCACTGCATACTCCCTAAAGTGTTCAGAACTCAAGATCTGATAGGAAGATGTCTTCAGTCCTCCAAGACACTCTCCTTCCACGGCTACTTAGGATGGGCAAGTGTAAGTTGGATGGGATGGAGCTTGAAGATCAAGGAGGACACAGTCAGTCATGGGTGAACTAAAATGATAAAGGGGAAAAGAAAAAAGCATAGCAAATTCTAAGTTTATGGATGACAAGAGAATCGATTCTTTCTCACCCAGGGGCAGAACAAGCCTCTTCTCTGCAGGAGGCAAATTGTGCTGTGACATTATCCCTCTCTGTACAAAGCACTGTGGTCCTGACAGCTGAGGGAAGAGGCATCCCCAGCAAGAGAGAAACCCACAAACACAGCACACACTGGCAGCTCTCCATTGCCTTGTGGGAGTCAAGCTTGTGGAGTCTGGCAAGGGCAGAAACAGAGGAACACCATTTAGCCATTCTACAGCCACCTTAAGCAAGATAAATATGTCATCTGAACCTACATTAAAAGCCAAAACTTTCAAAGAACAGGGATACAGTATATTTTGGACATTAATTATTCCTTAATTTTTTTACTCTAAAGTGTTGGGGGAAAAAGTAGGGGTGAACAAATATTCAACAAGACAGAAAGGATGATTAGAGGGACTTCAAGAGTTTATTTAAATATATTATAGTAAACTGACTTGACAGCAGTGAGTTTTTTGTTTGTTTGTTTGTTTTTTAGTAAAGTCTGTGCAGCACTGTTTGGAACACACCCTCTATATGGGCACCAAGACAGATGAGCAGGAGCAGGAAGCATGAGAATTGTGTTCCCAGAAACTCCAACATGGCACGCAGCCTCCCACTGTGAGATGGTGTTGGACAGCAGATGGATCTGTCACCTGACCGCCAGGTAAGGTCCTAAACAGGACCCTGAACATTTGTTCTTCTCTGAGTACCTGGCATCCTTGAGTATCCGCACATTTCCATGGTAAAAGCAGCCCAGAGGAACAATAAGCAGGAGGAGGCAGGGGTCAGACTGTAGGGGATGCCTGGTGGGAGAGGGCTCACAGTGGGTGTCATCTAGAGCCACATGGACTAGTCCTTGTGCCTTGCTGAGAGTGTGCAAGTTCTATCCAATAACTTGATAGATATAAAACACTGGGCAGGGTTGTATGCTTAGTATACACACTAAGCTTAAGTCAAAAGGCTCAAATAGAATCCTCTGGGGAGTTCGCAATATTTAAAACAAAATCCACTAATATTAACATCCACAAACCAAGTCAAAAGACAGCATATCAGCGAAGACTACAGAACATTGTCCTGCTTGTTCATTAATTCCTATAGTTAGACAGTGTGCTTTCAAGGGACCACCAATGACCAGTCATGGAGGTGATTCTGACCAAGAGGCCAAGTCCTCTTAGGTTTCATGCCTTGTTTTAGACCTATCTTGGAGTCCCCTGGACTACACATTTACCATCTTCTAGGTTGGGCAGTTCTGGCCATGCTCAGAGTACTCAACAATAACAGGAACTATGAATTGATGATACTGTGGTTTCTTCCTGGTGCCCCCAGGGCTAAGGATAGATGAAACAAAGCATTTAACCTCCATAGGTAAATATTTAAAGATCCATATAAGGCAGTCAAGGAATATCTCTGTACTGACAAATGAATAAGCAAAGGTGCACAAAGTAATGATTCAGAAATCCAGGGAGGCACTTAGACATAGGCTTCTTATGCCAATTTCTAGAAGAAGCATGGACTGAGCTTCTGAAAACACAAAAGACTAATTAAAAAGTACACTAGCCCCCATGTAAATGAGGAAACTGGTTGGAATATAATGCCCTCCTACTTGTGGGGATTCTATATGCAATTTCCTGAGTGAACTGGTAAGAGGCAAAGAAGACTCGAGTGAGTGTGTTTGTGTGTGCCCATGAGCAGGCATGCACACGTCCAAGAAAGAGGCCAATCTCACAAAATGGGAATATAACCCAACCTGTCTCTATAACAATATTCTGAGATAGTTCTTATTCATTCAGCCTGAAAACTCTGGGGAAGGCAATTTATCTTGTTGCTGCTGTAGGGAGCCCTGGTGAGATGCACACAACCACATGAATGCATGAGTGTGAATGTGTGTGTGTGCACATTGTAATGATATACAGGCATGGACAAGTACATACTCAAATGGGGGAAGGGTCCCTTGGGCTTAATCAGGATGGTCTTCAGTAAAGTTTGAACTCCTGGATAATGGGGGGATCTACAGGGACCACAAGTACAGGCAAAGAGCTAGGGAAGGAGACGCGGGTTTTACCTTACATTTGGCTTCTCCCTCACAGGGGAAGAAAGAGAGGCATGCTGTTTGCTTGCAAAGCCAACCACCCATGGAGGTGTTCTGCTTCTGTAAAACTTTTACCCTTCATTTAATCAACAGATGGACGTGCTCTGTTGTGGATTTTTCCCGAGAGAGCTCTGCCCCTCTAAGAGACATGCTGGCTGGCACAAATGCTGCCTCAGATGGCAGGGACGGCTCTGGCATTACAAAAGAGTGGGCAGAAGCCCATCTCCCCTTCCAACTCGGTTCCACAGGTGAGTTTGATGCCTTTGGCTAAATCAGCACTCCCAATCCTTCTTCATAAATCCCTCCCGGCCCCCCTCCACCACTCCCAGCCCCAAGGCTCTGAGGGCTAGGAGCTAAGTGGTGGTAAAGTTCTTTTCTAAGATTCCACCAGCCTCTCAGCTCCAGCTAGGCTGCAAAAAGGAAACAATCAGCACCCAGGGAGAAATTCCATTCTCAACCCTGAATCCGGGGCTGGGTAGGACTCAGAATTCAGCCTCATTCAGAGAACTGCGTTCAATTCAGTGCACTCTTTACAATCTTTTCCCAACCACTGCAAATTACCCCACAGTACACTCCGTAATTGCAGCCCCTTCTGCTCCTGTGCAATCACACACACTCACTTTTGAATATACTCCTGCACGTCAGACCTTATTCCAGCAGAAATATCCACCTAAACAAAGCATCTCTTCCCTGCTCCCCCCTCACACCAACCTGGGTCTGAAGGACAGGAGTTGCCCAGAAGTTCAGAATGCCTGATCCACATTAATACTATCTAATTAACATACTGGCAGCATAAAGAACTGATTTGCATTGGAGAGCTTGACCAGGATGATACTCATATGTGAGAGCACACAGTCAACTCCCTCTCCAAGCCCATGCATTCCAATGGAGAAGAAATAGTATCATTTTGTTGCATTTTCAAATCAAAAGAAGCAAAGCACAGCCCACTGCTCTGGGCAATGAGAGCCACATCCATCAGTCCGAGTTTCTAAGCCTGCCCACGTTCCCACGCTCAGCCTCCCTTGTCCTGACAGCCACCCGACTTTTTTTACAACTCCAGCGACGCCTCGGTCCTACCTTGGCTGAAAAGGAAGAAGCAGATGAACAGCAGATCAAGCTGGAAAGGTTTCATTCCTCAGCGAAGTGAGGGGAAGCCGGCGGGGCAACTTGGGTTTACAGTTAGTTTCTCTGCCTCTCCGGCTTGCTCTCCTCCGCGGCTGCTGCAGGTCCTCTCTGGTTGGTGCAGACCATTTGTCTGTCCGTGGGTCTCTCTGGGGTTGCCTCGGTCTCTTTGTGCCTCTGGATAGCAGCAGCCAGCCAAGAGAAGTTGCCTTTTTTCAGCTGCCTTGGGAAGCCGGGATCGTCAGTAATGTCCCCACTCGGAACAGCTCCATTCTCAGGCTCTTGGCATCCCAGCCACACAGCTTCCTCCGGCAGGGCTCCTCCCACAGTGAGCCGGCGGCGGCGGGCGAGAGAGCAGGCGACTGAGTGACAGAAGGGCTCCTTTCACTGAAGCTGGGGCGGGGGAGAGGGAGGCGAGACAGGGCATAATTAAACAGGAAACACTTGGAGAAAGAAAACCTGTGGGGCACTGAGGATGGGGTAAAGGTTCTTTTTATTTTTCTTCTAAATGGGGGAAATTCAGCTTTTATCACCATTATTGACCAAAAAGCATCTTTAGCAGGGAGTGGGACTATGACTTTTTACTCATAGGATGTCATGTTATTTAACAGGAATGAAGTTGATGACTATATGCATGCATTTACATTAAAATATGCATGCTTTCCTCTGTATAAGGGATTGGGAACTGGACTGAGAAGGGAGAAGAAGCGGTGAGGTGGGGTATACGTCTTTCACTCAGAAGGACTTGGCCAATGTGTGTAGTGGGGGACTTGGAGTTGGAGGGGCGATAAGCATGCACTGAATTGTTGAGACTTTCTTAGGGGGCTATGTAATAAACACTGGATGTTTGCACATGAGTTTGCTTTGCACTACTCCTAGAAAATAGAATGCAGAAACAAGAGAGAAAACAGGCAGCTCTGTGACACATGTCCATTTATTATTATTATTTTAGTTTGTGGTTTTCCTAACAAGGACAGGGAGCAGCCTGCCTCTCCATTTACAAGGTTTTCTCTAATGAGCACTCCATCACTCCCAGCAGGTCTTTCCTCCAAGAGGTGCTGTGAATTCAGCGAAGGAGAGGCCAAGGTCATAGGCAACTACCTCCTAAGAACCTTCAGGTCTTTCACCTGTCAGAAAATCCACACTCATATCAACTCCTATTTCCTTTAGGATATCAACGTGAATTTATCTAGGTCTGCTTACTCAATAGGCATTTAGCCATGCCTGCTATAACCAGAGCTTTGGGGAAAATAAAATAGCAGGCACAGAGAATGCCTTCCAGAGCTCAAAATCTAGTGTGGAAGCAGAGTGTACATACAAAATACAAGCTAAAAGGGCAGTTAAAAAACAAGATACAAACATGTGCAGCATTATAAAGAATGCGTTAAGGGGAGGGTGAAGTTTAATGAGAGGAAGAAGATAAAAGATGCTCTCTCAGTTTCTTCCAGTCAATTACAAAATCAATCATTATTTTCTTCAGTCACTGGACCTGGGGAAGTCTTTGGGGGGAACTCTCAGCCTTTCCTTCTTTAATGTCACACATTTGGGGGACTTTGCTGACTACAAGGCACATTCCAAGCTCCAAGTTTCAATGAGGATGTTAACTTAAAAAAAAAAAAAAAATTATCCCTTGGTATTTATGAACAAGAAAGAAACACATGTAAAAGTGTGTGCCAGAAAGTGTGTGTGGTAGGAGCTGACACCTGGCAGTTGACATCAAAGATCTACAAATTAGTAGGTATCTGCTTTGTTGACTTTTGTATTCCTAATAGTTTATTTAACTGCACCCCTTAGAGGCTGTTAAATATATCAAACGGAAATTTGTAAGCAAGCTAAGGTGGAAAAAGAAACTGTCAAGCAACAAAAACTAAGAGGCCCCCAAAGAGGCATCCCCTCTGCTAAATTACCGAACAAGGTGCAGAGCAAAGTGTCAGCACAGCCTTAGTCCACAGACCTGCTGCTGGTGGTGGCTAGGGCCAGCTGAGGGCTAGAAGGACTTTTGCAATGAACCAGAAGAAACAATCAGAAACACATACAAAAGATAAATAAGAATGTAAAAAAAAATGTATGCCAAATAAAACTTTAAGACTGAAAATATAGTATGCATAGTGCTATAACTTTAGGGGTTGTTTTCCACTAAATCTCTGGGAGAAGGGAGCATTTTAAGGTCTGGGTGGTATTATCAAGACCAAGCTTGTCAGTGAATAAAACAAAAATCAGAATGAAGATTATTCCTTACATAGTAATATTTGATTTAACTAAAGATTTAGCCTTTAAATTGTCACTTAATTTTTATTGCTAATCCCTAAGTGACAGAGGCCTAGCTTTGTTTAATTTAGCTCCTGAGGGAAACATTACAAAGCCAGAGTCTTAAGACTAGTGAACTGTGCAATACACCAGGCACACGTTCAGGCATGTGCAGACCCACACTCACACACTCACTGTTGAACAAGAGAAGGTGAGGAAGGCTGGGAGGCTGAGGTTGGAAGGTTCTTGTTTGGCTCTCCCTCTGGTCCCTGAGACTGGCCCCATAACCCCTAAACTAACTCAGGTCCCCCAGCTAGCTGGGCTTCCTCCTTCCCTTATGCCCTCCTGGTCCCCTCCTTCCCCTTACAGCCTCAGGTCTTAGGCGGAAAAGAAAACAGCTCGGATTAAGTGATAAATGGCCTGCCTCTAAAAGGACCAGGAGGCATTTCAATCCTGAGTGCCGGAAAACCCACGGCAATCTTCGCAGCCACCACGTGAGCAGAGAGAAGGCTAGAGATACCTGCAGGACCCACAAGCGGCCGGCTCTGGCGCCAGCCCCGACGGCGGCCCCGCCACCTCCGCCCGGGCTGGCCCGTGACCTCACCTCCTCCGGGGTTCGGTTAACCTCCTGGCGCTGCGAGTGGCCGCGTGAAGTCCTCTGTACCGAGGGCGGAGGCGGCGCGGCGCACGGCTCCACCT